GTTGACATTGTGACGGCCAAGTGAAAACAACCAGAGAAAACAACAGCCTCACTAGTGTGAAACGAAAATAGTCCCAAAGATGCTAGAAACTAGACAGAAAATAAAATAAAATAATAAAATAAATAATAAAATAAAATAAAATAAAAAAAATAAAATAAAATAAAATAAAATAAAATAAAATAAAATAAAATAAAATAAAATAAAATAAATAAAATAAAAATCAGGATGCAGCTGAAGCAATCATTTAAAACCTAAGGAAAAAAAAAAAAAAAAGGCAGGGGGATGTTATACAAAACAATTTTTCTAAGAGAGGTCACTATAAATCCAGATCAACAAAGATTAAAATAGCAGCAAGAGAAATTCACCATAGCAAATCAATTTTACAAAATAAAAGTCCTTTATCCCAGTGATAAATTAGAGACAAACTGTATGCAGGAGAAAATCATGCAAAATAATAAACTGAATCTCTTGTGTAATAAAGCACAGAATAGAATTCTACTCATGCTTTTATAAGTTTAAGTTAAAGATCAAAATATAAAGAGAACATAAAACTTCAGATGAATCTTGAGATCAGAATAATTGGGTGTTCTAAATATAATATGCATGCTATAAGCACCCCAAAGCCCAATCTGAAACAGAATCCCATGTACAAAAATGTACAAAAATCATAATCACCATTCTAAGCACTGCTGTATGAGCAGGATACAGACTTAACTTGTTTTATTCACTGGAGTTCCTATGAGATAAAAATCATGTCATTTTTTTCATTAATTTTGTTGTGCTGCTGCAAGTTTATCCATAACAAAGGTGCTGCAAATTACGGGTTTTAGGATAGCATTCAAATAAATGTGTAGGTGTTAAATACACTTAGCAAGCTGTTGAGGTCCAAATACACCACTGTTCCATACACTTCACATAAAAGAGCAGCTTTTCAACATTACAGCCTAAAAGTAACCAAAGTTAAACTTCAATTAACTGTGTACTGCATTGTGGCTCCCATGTTATATCACTAATGGCAATATGTTTTCAGCTTTCCTATGAAATATATAAAGGGCAGTTTGCATTGCAGTCAGCATAGTTAATGTTTAACAATTCAAGTAACATAACAATAATGTTCTATTGTATCCTTCAAAATGCTTCATCAGAATTCCCAAAAGACAAAAAGTACTTTTTTTTTTTTAATAAAGTGAGGGATGGCAGTGATTACAGATTAGTACCTTACATTCTGCATTGTAGTCTACCTAATCACTGTAAATGCTTGACTCACTCTGTTGCATGCCTGACTTGATCCCAGACTGTACTTTTCCAAAGTTTCCTCCAGAGATCCCACCTGTTTCAGTTTGTCATAATTTTATCTAAAAACTGTTTCTCCTATGTATTTTTCCATTCAGCATCTGAATCAGTTAGTGATTGTAGTAACTGTAATAATATATGTAACTCCTAACACCTGCCATCAGATTTTCAAAATACCATGAAAGTAGGAAGGATAGATAAAAATAATTCTGAAAGGTCATAATTTTCTAACCCAAGTTTTTAGGGCACTTTGGTCTCTTTAGTTTTCAAAATAAGCTGAGAAGGAATCTGAGACAATTTGCAACATGCTTTCTTAACTTTTCGTTTACACTATGAAGTAAAAAAATAAAATAAAATTATAAATTGATGACTAGCTTCACTGAGGTTACTCGGGACTAAAGGAACTAGTACCAGCTAATTATGTATGTTATGTATGTATGTATATATGTATTAGCATGTATTTATTCTGCTTATATATATGAAAAACAGGTGGTTCAGACTTGGATTTTTGAAGCAGTGACACCATTTTCCCTCTCTTAAACAGTGACTCAGACTTGAAAATGGAAAAGAAAGAGTTCTTTTACCTTTACTCTTTAAAAATACTGTATATTTCATTTTACATACATACCTATTAAACACTTGACTTCTCAATATCAGTGATTCAGACATAAAGTGAGGATAATCAAAGACTTCTGAAAACATTGAAGAATGAACTTCCTTTGAACTCCTGAAAATCCAGTGTACCAATCATTGAGCAGAGCAGTACTTATTTTTCAATCATACAATAATGATTTAGCCAATCAGATTAGAAGACAGCAACAACAGAGAAAGCAACAGTTTTTAGTAACACACCTGTGTCTTATGTCTTAGATTAATGCATAGTACAGAAACTAATAATGAGGTACATAGTTGAGAATGAATGTAAAGAGCACTGGACAAAACTCAGTTTATGGGTAATGCATATTCGTAGGATGTAGTTCTAAGCTACATGCTTCAGAAACAGATTGCTAAGAGATTGTTGCCCCATTCTTCTCTTTTTTATAACCACCAAATATTTATATCTTACTGACTGAAATTCTAAGGTCCTGACCACAAGAGAAAATCCTTAATGGGATTATCTGCACAAAGTATCCTTTGATTCCTCAGAATGAATTCAGGGATCTTGCACATATAGACTACTCCTTCATTACTAAAATAAATTATTAAAATTATCTTGGTCTTAAACTATGTCAGTATTTACTTCTTCCTCAACATACAACCCTTTTCTATAGCCTGATCCGTATGTGTGAAGATCTTATGTAGTAGCAAGCAGGAGAAATACTGCAGATGTACAAGCAATAGTATATGAAAATTAACTTTAAGTTAATTCAGGCAACAAATTCATAAGGTATCAACATCCTCACTTTCAGGATCCCAAAAGAGTAGGCAAACTTCCATTTGATTATGGAAAACTGGGTCCAAAATTCAGATGTAATTGGATTCTAGGCTTTTCCAACTGCTAACAAAGGTTAGAATCAGTAGGAGCCAGTTAATGTTCTTCAAGTGTGTACTTTGGCATAAATTAGAGTTTCTGAGTAGTAGCTATAATTCATGTTACTGACACAAGATTATGGTCAACATCTACCACTGACAGGCTGAAAACACCGGATGATGGTGATAGATTTTGACACTGATCAGTATAGCTCACCTGCTTCCAATCTAGGCAATAGAGTTTACTTAACTCTTGTGTATATCAAAAAGGAAGTTTACCCTCTTTTTTTATTGAACTTCATGTCACTATTCTTCTTTTATGTTCCATTCTTTCTTTAACCAGCTTGGCAGCTGAATTGAATATCTCTCTTTTTTTTTTTTTTTTTTTTTTTGCCTTTGAACTCCAAATCACTAGACAGTGACAAAAAGCTATGGGCAACTGTTAATTGGGAGTTGTCTGTATTTGCTTTGTATTTTAAAAATGCTTTGTAAGTTGCATTATTCTTAAATGTCCTTCTGCAGAAATTGAGACGCTATCGTTTCCTTAGCTGTATTTTTCTAGTTATATCTAAAAGTGTCAAAAACAGTGACTCTGGTGCTGACTCATTCCCCATTGCCTCCTTAGACATTTGTGTTGTAGGAATACAAATAGTAGGTTTCAAAGGTATTTTTTCCATGAACTGAGCAGTAATACATTGTTTTTAATGCCCATTCTAAAAGATAGTAAATCAAAACTGCAAACTCTTTTACTTATTTTTAAGAAAGAAATCAAATACGTCCTAATGTTACTTAGTTGGTATGTCTCTCAAATGAGAGACAAGTGTCTTGCCAAATCTGAAGAAGAGTTGTTTTCACTGATTTAAAATAAATAAATAAATAATAAAAAATCAGAAAAACTAAAAATGCACATCTTTTAATGTACTGTTCTATAATGACTATTTGGCAAAAACAGGTGGTATACCAGGTTGCAGGCTTGTGTTCTACTGATAGTCTAACAGTTCTGTAAGATCTCAAACTGACAGAGACAATTTGTTTCTAGCAAATTTCCACTGTATTTTTTTTCCTCAGGATACAAAAAGCAGGTGCAAAAAGGCTTCTGTCTTACTTTGTTTTCTTTCTTACAAGCCAGCATATGCCAGGTAATTATTCCAGTCTGATATTGCTCCAAACAAAACACAATAGGTCTGTGTGGCAATTGAGCTAGAGAAGACTTTTCTACTATAAAACTTTAGAATATCTTCCTTGCAACGACTAAGACTGAAATTTCAGATTCTTCATTCCCTTGTTCTGTGCCTTCCCTAGAACAAAAGAAAGGCAAAAGAAAAAAATAATATCTGAGATGCTCATTTGCAGGCATATGCACACTAGCTAGAACTGTACTGTACTTTCTACTACTGCAAGAGAAGACATTTTTTTCTTAATGCAACTATCTGTCCCCCCCGCATCCCTATTCTCTCCTCAAAATAACAGTATTGTAACAACAACCATTTGGCCTTCTCTGGTAAATTGCTTGTATTTTCCAGTGAACAGTCTGTCCTACTGACTAATTTCATATAGCTAAAATTAAAAACAGCACTAAGCTTTGCTTTACTCAAAAACAAAACCAAAAAATATATGTCTTTTTAACATAATTTGGTTTATTTTTATATGTAAGAAGAGATAAATCACATAAAGCTAGACCTGTGTCTGGGAGACTTCAGTCTCCAAAATACCAATAGTATTACAATAATAAAAATAGGACGGTATAGAGGCCATCCTAATTTAGCTAAAGAATTGTTCTCCTGACACTGTCACTATATGAACACAAGGCTTTTCCTATTCTCAGCTCCCACTTGCAGTTTATAAATAGATGTGGTGATCTGTACAAAAACAGGTTGCAAACAAGATGGAAGGAACCAGTAGTGAGAACAAACCTATCTTTTTGCTGGAGTCTAATTATTGTTTGCACTACTGCAATGACCACAGTCAAGTACTAGAGTGCCCTGTTTGTTTTAGAAATAAACTTCATCCCTTTTCTTTTGGATTTTGTGGGAATTATTCATAAGTTATGTTAAAGTGTAATGGTATGTATGTTAAATAATAGTTGAGATTAAAAATAGTTTTCTGTAATATTTTTTCTGCACTACCACTCATTCACACTCATTCACATTTCTTCAGACAACATTTCTGCCTGGCACTGACATGGTCATGAGTGCTTCGTGGGATGACGGCAAGGATGAAAGCCAAAGAAAGAACCAGGCAGCATTATAAAGCAGCACAGGGGCTGCTTTATTCCAGATGCCCTCAGAGCACGTCACATCCCTAAGACAATTAGGGTGTACCAAACCTACTTAATGGCAGCAATAGTACAATGGGAGCCTACCAGCTACAGCAACTGGCCCATAGCCCATGTGATCTGGCCAGCCTGAGGAAAGGCACTATCAAATTAGTCTTTGGCTGGCCCAGATCTGTGGGACAAAGAACAATTTGTATAGGAAGCAATAGGAAGCAATGATCTTAAAAGTCCCCCCTACCCCCCCCCAAAAAAAAAAAAAAAAAAAAAAAAAAAAAAAAAAAAAAAAAAAAAGTTGGACTTCTGCCATGCAGCAGATTGGGAGCTTTGGAAGCATTTCAAGAGATCAGCTTCCTGTTCCAAGGGAATTGCCCTATGCATCTATTCTTTTTCCTCCTTGACTGTTTTTTTTAGTGGTGTTATTAACCTTGCAAAAAGACAGCAACATCCAGTAAGCCAATGGTCAGACTGCTCTTCTGTTAGAAAACTCACCATAGTGTCCAGCAGGTCTGCTCCTAAGACTGAAGAGCGCCTGTCCTTCCAGTAGCTTGTTCTTGTGACCTCCCTGCCCCTGGTATTTTCAGCTGGAAATCCTTAGCCTAAAAGCACTTTGCATCTTGTGCTCAAAGAAGATCTGAAAAGAGACACAATAAAAATGTTTAAACACTTTGCCCCAGGAATAATTTCAAAACTGAGGATTTGATATCAATATGACAAATATAGCACAGAGCAATATGTAAGTGACTTGGAATGACAATGACAACAGAAAAAGTTGAAAACTTGCTGCCCAGACAATAAAAAATCCTGAAGACTGTGACATGTCTGAAATCTATCCTCCCAGAAATATTGCATGTCATGCCAGACTGCCGTAAGGCATTCCTGTCCATTTGTGATCCACAGTCATGAATTCTTGCTTGAGAGTTGGCTGGATCCAGATTTATTCCCTTCCGCATAGACATCAATGGAATGGTTTCTGCATAACTGCCTTGAGGCTAGTACACTGAAAAGGGAAGGATTGTCTTGTGCTTAAAATTTGTTTTCAACCTCAAACCCATGTTTCTCCTCATTTTTAATTGTAAGAGAAACTTTCCTATGTCTATCAGTATGAGGTGAATAAGGCTCCAGAAAGAAAAATAGCACATTTTAAATGGAGGTAGAGAAGGACTTAGGAACTTATGAGCTAGCTAGCCAACCACAGTCCTCAGAAAAATACTGCAATAAACAATCAAAGAATTTGAAGGTCTCTACAGGACAGCCTAAGAGATTTGTAAGGGATTCCCTACAAATCACATTATACCAATTTAATCTTCTTCTAAAACAGGCAATAGGCCTTCTGAATAGAAGACAAGTAGGAAAGATTATATGCGTTAACCTGCAAAAAGTTTTTTGACACTTTCTTGATATTTTATTTCAAGCAATCAGAAAAAAATCTTGATGAAACTAAAATAGAATAGATTCAAAAGCTTTGAAAATGGGTGCAAAACTTGGGAAACTATTTTAATTATTTTTTTAATAGAAAAAATAAAATTAATAGTTTATTGTCTAAAGGGAGGGATGATTAACTATAAAATCACAGAAATATTCATTACATCTGGTACTATTCAAAAATGTGTAATCAGTAAATTAGATTAGCAAATAAAAGGGTAATTTTTGACAGTTGTATTTTATCTTGGATTTTGGAGAGTGTTAGCCAGACTGAATGGCGTACTTAGAATTTGAATGCTTGAAGAAATTGGAGAAAAAATCAATGCAATTAAAAGAAGGCAAGGTCAAAGTATTGCTCTGTTAAGGGTTTACCAAAAGTACAACAGCAAGATGACCAGGTAGAATTTCTTCAAAAACAGAATCTGGGCATCACTGTGGTTCACAAGTCAAGGTGAACCAACACTCTTACTATTGTGAAAAAAAAAAAATAAGTCTTATGCATAAATAAAAGTGTTACAAGTAATGCAATATGAAAGAACTTTTCTACTCCCACAGACCTTGATAGATCCTCAGCTTGAGTACTGCATCCTGTTTCATGCAGCTAAATTCAGGAAAGGAGTCCGAGCTGGATAAAAGGCAAAGTATATGCTCTGGAGCAAAAAACTTAAGGACGTTGGTTGGATAAATTTCAGAAGAAACCTGAACCTAAAGAATCCCAGCAATGATTTAGGCAGACGTTATTTTAGTTGCTCTATAAAATTTCCAAAGCTGCGTCTGAAGTTCAGGGATATATCAGGTTCCTTCCAGAGTCCTCCTTCCAAATGAGAAAACCCAAAATAAAATATTTGCTTTTATGGGCAGCCATGTCATCCATATCTAGGACCATTATTAAATCATTGCTATGAGGTTTCCTTTTTTTTTTTCCTCCCTATTTACAATGTCTGGCTTACTTCCATAAATAACTTCATCAATAGGAATGTAAAGTCAGCAAAAAAATGTGCAAATGTACATAGGGTTGAAGCAAACGTGCTATTTACAAAGAAAAAAGTAAATGCAAATGAAAACAAAATCTGGGGAAAAATAAATAAATAAATAAATAAATATTAGTTTAATATTTAAAACATTTTAACTATATTTATAAATCCACTTTTAAAGGTCAGTTTTAGCCCTTCTAAATTAGAAGACTATTTATAAGTTTGAGAACCAAGGCACCTATGCAATAATACTCTCTCTTAAACTAAATAGATCGTTACCAACAGCATAGAGGACATCTGCTAAGTCTTCCGTATGCTGTTTAGTCCAGCAGAATAAATTTGACAAAAAGTCATTAAAAAAATAAAAACAAACAAACAAAACCAACACATTAATATAACTAATAATGCTTAATTTTAACTTGTTTTTCAGTATTATATTTCAAATTTAGGAAGGCCTTAATATCAGAAGAATCAAAAGGCACCATATATTTTGTCATAAGCAGAAAAAATGTTAAAGAAATAATGCAAATTAAAGGGAGATCTCAGGTGTTATTAATCAATGTAGGTATGAAAATATGCAGAATGGTGTTTCCTAAGATATATATTTCATGTTAAAAAGCATGACAAATAAAAACCCTTTGCTCAAAATTATACTTTTTATTTCAACACCATGTATGGTTGAAACCATGTTTTAAAATGAATGTTTAAAGACTAAGTAAGCTATTGCACCTTTTAGATAAACAGCAGAAGATAAGGATTCAATTTGGCTGTATGCCCCCCTACCAGAAAGCAGTAACCGGAATCCAAATTCCTCAATTTTGTGTCACACTAAACTTATGTACATAGTTCAGGTCAAGTATATCCACAGTACACTCCAGAGCTTCATCAACCCTGCAGTCTAGGGATTTGTCCTTTCTAAATTGACATAAAACTCATTGCCAGCCTTTTAGTGTTCAGTCTTTTATTATGCTGTTTGAAATACACTTTAACTCCTTGCTCTTCTAAATCCAGCAATAAGAAATAAATTGCCAGTAGTTAATGCACTTTCCTGAAAAGTTTGAGATTTCTGTTTAAATCATTACCCAGAATCAAACAGATTTGACTTGAAACCACGGTTCCTGTTTCTGGTCTTTCCTGGAGCATCCTGGACCAGTGGTGATATTATTCCACTGTGGATAAAATGCATAAACAATCAGTAAGTCAGAGACCAAAAGAAGAGGAAGGTAGACACCTAGATAATAGGTATGGCATGTGTTCCATTTTTAGTTGTTGCTAGAGAGTGGAGGAGCACTAGAAGAGATTGAGAGGCCCTACTCAATCTGTACTTGAGAAGTAGTACAGTTTTAGGATTAAGGTAGTCTTCTGAGAGATGCAGGTTCAAATCCCAGAAGAAGAAACAGAAGATTAAAATTAACGTTTTGTATTTCTTAATGACTTCCCTAACAGTATAAGTTCAATGCTGCTACATAGTTGTATTTGGAGACCATGTGAGGCCCTTAATTTATTTTGCTTTTCTTAAAAGTGCAGAAATAATTTCAGATCAAATACACCTTTTTATGCTGCAGCGATGAAATGATGACATTTTGTGTTCCTTATGATTTCTAAATGTTTCCTAGGTAAGGATAACAAAGAGCTCAAAGAGATGTCTGAGAGGCCGTAGCATCCCAAACAATGGAGTACAATTTAGAACACATTAGAAAAGCATCTGCCAGGAATGATATTCACTGATACATAATTCCTTGGGACAGGAAAATGTATTGGGTGACTTCCTGATGTTATTAGCTAGCCTTTTTTTTTTCTCTAATTTTCCATCCCTCAGAAGAGATCAGACTGGTTTTAGCCTTAGCAAAAGCAGAAAATCCTCCCACAGGCTTAAAGATTACAGGTTCCATCCAAATACGAGAAATTTAGATTCAACTGCATAGGTCTGAAATACTAACATGTTCTCAGGGCTTGCAGGTAGACTTGTCCTTTTAATTTGATGCTCTGAAATACAGTGTCACTATTTAATATCAGGACAGTGGGTTAAGAGAATGTGTTGATATCTTAGATAATAAAGACAGAAAATCACATCCTGTGGAATATTAAATGCATTGTGTCAAGTGGCTGAATATATTTATCACTAGTCACATTTGACTGTACTGCAATTCCTTTTTCTCAAGTCAAGTGCATTAAGATCTACTTGATACATAGAGCTACTCAAAGTAAAACACTGGGCAGAATATAGGAAGAGCTACTGATGAGTAGATATTATTTCCTCTGACTCAGAACTAAGCTAAAAATCTAGTATGGTTTTAGATATTGACATGGTTGTTCTTTCAGATGTGAGAGACATTAAAGCCACTGATAACCATAAGAATCCATGACATTCTGGCTTGGCATGACTTGGTGTATTACTTTTGGCCTGATACTCAACTCCACATGAACTCTAGAGCTTCAACAGAATGCAAAACTTTTTTTGTTTGTTTTGTTTTGTGTTTTTATTTTGTTTTGTTTGTTTGTTTTGTTTTGTTTTCTCTTCCTACCATGACTTGATGGTAAGAGTTACAATGCAATGACCAAGTTTCATTTTGATGTGGGCATTGTTTGCATATCACTACATTGGATGTTATGGGATAGTGAACACTGGATACATTCAGGGTAGTACAATGTGATTTTAGAATTTTTTCTTTAACTTTTAGATTTTTGTCTAGAGACATTACGATTAGAATAGTCAGAAGGGAAAGAGTTTTTTTAAATATCTATGGACAGTAATCTAGACTATTACACACAGTCTCACTGAATGTGGAAACTTTGGCATGAATAATTCCTAGCAAAGCTCAGGACTACTGTGGTGGTTTCACACTGATAACTAGCTAAATTGCACCACAGAGCACTCTCGCTATCCCAACTTAAAGGAACTGTAGAAGAAAATATGATGAAAAAGGGCTCAAGGGCTGAGATAAAGACAGGGAGATCCCTCATCAATTACCATCACAGGCAAAAGAGACTCAGCATAAGGGAGATAACTGGAATTTATTGCCTATAACTAGCAGACTAGAGTAGTGAGAAATAAAAAACAAACTAAAACCACCTTCCTCCCATCCAGCCTCTCCTTCCTCCTCCCCCCGAGCAGCAGAAGATAACAGAGAATAGGGGCTGCAGTCAGTCCCTAATGCTTCATCTCCACTCCTTCACGGTCACTCTCTGCCCCTGCTCCATGCGGGGTCCCTCCCACGGGATGCCGTCCTTCCTGAACTGAGCCTGCGGGGGCTGCCCACAGGCAGCAGCTCTTCAAGAACTGCTCCTACACGGCTCCGTACCACGGGGAGCAAACTGCTCCAGCACGGGTCCCCCACAGGTGGCAGCTCCCCCCAGACCCCCCTGTTCCTGTGTGGGCTCCTCTCCACGGGCTGCAGCTCTGGCCCAGGGCCTGTTCCTGTGGGGGCTCTCCATGGGCCACAGCCTCCTCCAGGCCACATCCACCTGCTCCACCGGGGGCTCCTCCACAGGCTGCAGGAAAGCTTACAGAGGCCACCCCTGCCACCAGTAGAGAAGCCAATGACAAGAGGTGCTATGCTTGACTTCACACTCAGTTATAAGGAGATGCTCACTGAGGGTATGATGTTTGAAGGCAGCCTTGGCTGCAATGATCATTAGATGGTGGAGCTTAGAATCCTAGGAGGAATTGGGGCAAAAAGCAAGATCACTACAGAAGAGTGGACTGAGGTCTCCTCAAGGATCTGCTTGGCAGAGTACTGTGGGATAAGACCCTGGAGGGACAAGGAGCCAAAGAATGCTGGTTAATATTCAAGGATCACCTTGAAGCGATGAGCAGTTCATCCCAACAAAGAGGAAGTCAGGCAAAAATGCCAAGGCCTGCATGGATTAACGAGGACACTTTGGCAATACTCAAAGACAAAAAGGGTGGAAGCAGGGACAGGTAACTTGGAAGAAATGGAGACACACCATCTGAGAATGCAAAGACATGGTCAAGAAAGCCAAAGACCATTTGGAATTGAATTTGACTGAAGATATCAAAGACAACAAGAAGGGCTTCTCTAAGTACACAGTGAACAAAAGAAAGACTAGGGAAAATGTGCTGAATGGGACAGGGGCTCTGATGACGTGGAAAATGTTGAGGTACTGAATGTCTTCTTTGCTTTGGTCTTTACCAGCAAGACTGGCCTTTAGAAATCCAAGGACCTGGGGATGAGAGGGAAAGTTTGGAGCAATGAATACAAATCCTTAATGGAGGAGGATGAGATCAGGGAACACTTTAAAAAAATGTACTGTACAGAAGTCCATTGAACATGATGGGATTAACCGTCAAGAGCTGAGGGAGATGTCTGATGTCATTGGGAGGCCACCGTCAATAATCTGGAGCAAATGTCACTCTTATCTTCATGAACTGTAGGAAGGAGTGCTCAGAGAAGTATAGGCGGATTAACCTCACCTCAGTCCTTCAGAAGACGAAGAAGCTAATCCTGAAAACCACTCCCATGCACATGTGACTAGTTTAAAATATAGGTGCTTATTCTAATTGTTCATTCTTTCTCTGCAGTCAAGAGAAATACTGTTGAAAACCAACTCATTTCATTTTAAATAGTTATTTCAGAACAGGATTAATTAATCTCTAGAAGGGCTTATCTCTCTCTTAGTTATAGAGGAAACTTAGATCATTAACTCACATTTGACACCTAACTTACAATGGCAAAACTTAAGCAGGATGCATCCTACTGTAGGTTTCTATATGAGGTGCAACTCAAAATTTGGTGTCTGTTTTTCCATATTAGGGATAATGATTTGATTTAACTTGAGATAGATGTCTGAACTTGTGTGAATACCAGTTCATAAATCTTCTGTGTTACAAATCTGTCCTCTGATTAAGGTTTAATGTATTTATCATTTTGTTTCCTGTTATAGAATCATAAAATCATCTAGATTAGAAAAGCCTTTAAGATCAGCAAGTCCAACCATCATCCTGACCTGCAAGACCCATCACTAAACCATGTCCCTTAGTGCCATGTCCATGCATCTCTTCAATATCTTCAGGAATGGGGACTTCACCACATCCCTGAGCAGACTGTTCCAATGCTTCACCACCCTCTCCATGAAGAAATTCTTCCAAATGTCCAATCTAAACCTTCCCTGGTGCAACTTAAGACTGTTTCCTTGTGTCCTGTCACTTGTCTCCTAAGACTCCCAACACTCTCCTTGTTGTAATTTACTTTCAAGTAGTTGTGGAGAATGATGAGGTCTCCCCTCATCCTCCTTTTCTCTGGACTAAACAACCCCAGTTCCCTCAGCCACTCCTCCTAACTCGTTTTCTAGGCCCTTCACTGGCTTTGTTGTTCTTCTCTACACACACCTGAGCAACTCATTGTCTTTCTTGTAGTGAGAGGCCCAAAGCTAAACACAATATTTGCAGTTCAGTCTCACCGGACATCACCAAGTACAGAAAGACAATCCCATCCCTAATTCCTGCTAGGTGTTCCACACCATTTTTGACACAGGCCAGTCTGCCACTGACCTTCTTGCCCACCTGGGCACACTGATGGCTCATGTTCAGCCAGCTGCCAACCAGCACCCCCAGGTACTTGCCTGCTGGGCAACTTTCCAGCCACTCTTCCCCAAGCCACTGCATGGGGTAGTTACGACCAAAGTACAGGACCCAGTACTTAATACTTAGGACCCAGTTAAGTGTCCTGTAACTGGACTTGGCCCATCCAGATCCCTCTGCAAAGCCTTCCTACTCTAAAGATCAAGAATCCTTCTTAACTTAGTATTGCCTGCAAACGTACTGAGAGTGCACTCAATCCCCTCAGCCAGATCACAGACAAAACTGTTAAAACTGGCCCCAGTACCAAGCCCTGGGGAAAACCACTGGTGACCGGCTGCCAAAGGAATGAACTCCATTCAGTGTGTCTCTTTGAGCCTGGCCATTCAGCCTGTTCTTCCCACACTGAACTGTACACCTGTCCAAGCCATGAGCAGCAAGCATCTCCAGGAGACCTCTGTGGAAACCAGCATCAAACACTTTACTAAAATCCAGGTAAACAACATCTACAATACATTTACATATCTTACATAATGCAACACTATCTTAAGACAATGATAGTTAATTTGAAGGCAACATTTATAGCCTTTTTGCCACATAATAATATAGGAGAAGGCGATATAAGGAAAGCCACAAGTAGTCAGGAATAGACCGCTCTGACTGTGCTATATACAGCACAAGAAAAATACAGAGCCTAAGGGAGGGGAAAACTAACTGATTCCTGAGACTGGATATAAAACTCAATTCCTGACCATTCAGCAGGGGGAAATGAAGTAATAAAACTTCACTTCTGACTCTGAGGTTGAAAACTGCAGTCTTTGAAGAATGTTCTGAAGAAGATTGAGGTAGCCTGGTGAACAAGATTGAGTACTGAGGTCACAGGAATAAGGAAAAAATAAATGTGCACTTTTGTGGCAAATAAGACCAAGAAAACACTATTGTTACTGTTGGTTGGTACCTATAATGTCAGCAGGGAAAAAAAGCAGAAGGAAGGGTTGTCAAACACAGGTACGTGTGTTTTAATCCTTAAAAATAAAGAACTTGTACTGCAACAGAGTACACAAAAATAGTTAAGATGTTACATAATCATAACAGTAAACAAGACATGTGGCTTTAGTTTC